GGAAGGAAGGCTGGGCAATATACTTCTGTAGTGATACCACCTCAGAAACCCAAGGAGGGTTTGCTGTGAGTTGGGTCCAACTCGACGGCACATAACAACCACAACTTTTCTGAGAAGATACCCAGAAAATTTTAGTTCGTTTAGAAGCTGCTGTAGCTTTTGTGTTGGGCAGCTTTCCTGGAGAGTTACCTTTGCTCTTGCCAGTATTTCCATAGCTTCTAGTTTGAACAAGTACTTTCCCAACTGTTCATTAAGTCAGACTAAAATTAGCTCCTTTTCTGGTTTCTGGACTTCTAAAGGTATGTGAGATTTGGGGATTACAGTGAAGGAATGAAGGTAGATTCCTCACAATGGGCCCTATGTCCTCATCAGGGCTGGACTGGCAACAAATCTTGGTGGTACTGCCTACTTTTGACTGCATGGCATCATTCCTCCAGAGAGCACCATGGGAGACACTGGCCGAGTCACACAGAGGGCATACAGCATTGAGGCCCTTCCCCCACCCTCAACTGCAAAAAGGAGGCCAGGAGTCTAGAGTTTTCATTTCACCCACAATGAGTGTTAGGGTACTAGAATCAAATGCTCTGGCTTTCATTTAAGAATTTATAAAATAAAAACATGAATGTTTTAAAGATGTTTTTAAATCAAGAAAACATTCTGGATTCTAGGCCCACTCTGTGTGAGGAAGGAGGCTTAAGAGTATAAGTAAAGACCCCAGCCTTGTCCCCTACTTCTTTTCCCATGAATGTGGGACACTCTGGCTACCATCCCACCCTGCCTATCATTCCTGCCCCCATTCTGAAGGGAGGGGGAGAGGCTTATGCAGGCCCTAAGGTTAGGCTCTGGGGTGTCTGGGCAGGAAATTCTGGGGGCCAAAAGTGTGGTTGAGAAGTGGAGAGAGCCTCTTCAGCTCCAGGTGGGCATTCTTGCCCCATAGAGAGCCAGAGTGGGGCCCGCTGAAGCACAGGGCCAGGAAAGGGGCCCTGGTTGCCCAGGTCTAAAGGCAGGACTACTGGTTTGTGTTCTAGTCAAAATGAAGCAAGTCTTTTAAGTTTCTTTAAAGGCACCAAATATCAAAAGGCTGTTAAGGTTTTCTGTGTCTCTACACATACAGGAGATACGCATTGAACTGAGGAGGAGCTGGTGAACTCAATGCCATCCTCTATTTAGCAGAAGGCAGTGGAGACAGATCCGCTCAATTAGGAATTGCCTGGAGAATTCAGCAAAACTCCTGGGGCTCCACAGATAAGCACCTTTTAGGAAACTTATCAGTTAAGGCCTAAAAGATAGTCTTAATTCATCAAATTTGAAGACTTAACATGTTGTCTACTAAGGTATGTGAACAAACCATCCCTATAGAATCAGGGCCTCATGTGTCCTCAGGCAGCATTTCAGGCCATGCATGGAGTGGAATGTGAAAAGTGTACAGGAGCTTGTTCATAGCATGTGAATGATTGAGGTCACGGGCTTGCTTTTCCTGTTTGCCCCACCTGACACTCCTACACCAGAGGCTTTCCACTTAATGGAAGAGTTTTCAATAAGCAAGACTTTTTTGTCATGATTTTTTTGTGCTTAGGTTGTTTCTTTTTCAAGTGTCATTTCTCTTGCTTCGTGATGTTAGTCTTACTAGAAATAGAATAAGCCCATCTTAAAGAGAAATGAAAATGGTGCACTTTATTTCTCAAAGTCTGACCCCTGCAGACCCTGGAAAACCACCCTATCCTTAAAAGGCTTCAAGGCAGAAAAACTTCTAGAGACAGACTGTTAAGTAAGAGGTTTCGTGAGGTTTCGACTTCCATCCTCCTATTTTTGCACCCCAAGCAAGCCTTAAATCTTATCTAATCCATGTGGGCTGATGAGGAAGGCTTTCTTAAACCTGAGCAAACAAAAAGGATTACGTGCTCTGGGTGTTGGTGCTCTTAATTTGCTCACTAGGTCCCAATTTTCTGAATAGCAGTTGCTTGTATTCAGCATTTCCAAGGTCTAAGGAAGCAGACCTAACAATGCTACTCTCACAGGTTCCTGGATACATGCTACCAGAAGGGTGATGTAGACCATCCAAGGTCGATGCAGAGGGAGCAGGAAATTGAGGCTGGGACTCTAAAAGGCCCTTTTGTTCTACTGCTATAGAACTACATTGCAGAGGTCCTCTCTGAACATCAGATTCATTACTTAAAAAGAACTCAGATGGCTGGCCGTGGTATCCTCTTATGAATGTAAATAAAGAAAGCGGTCCCACATGCTGCCCCGCCACCCACTGCACTTTTAGACCATTGCAGGTGCAAATGAAATGCCCAGAGCCAAGACACACATTTCAAGGTCTGGAAAGATTTAGTTCTCTTCTCAAAGTCATGCACTTCCTCATCTGTTGGATATACCTAAGTAATTTCTAAGGATAATAAATCTGTAATTTAGAGAGGAAGGAAGGAAAAAAGAAGCTGGATGAAATGAGGGGCAAAAGATATTGGGTGCCTTGGTATGGAAATTAAATCCAAACAAGAATGCTACAGCTCATTACATAGCCCTGTGCTATACCCCAGGAGTAGGGCACAAAAGCTTCTCTTGCTTCTAACAAATATCTAGTCAATAAATAAGCCACAGCAACACAGCTAATTCAACCATAATACATATCCTGTTACATCTGACTCACTGTCAGTCTTTGAATATCTAGACTTGTAAGACTTTCTCTTCTGGCTTTTAGGTGTAAAGTAACTCAGCTCCCTTACCTAGAATCATGGCATCATCAAATATTAAGGCTCAAAGGAATCTTAAAACTCTTCTAGTCTAATTCTCTCACTTTGACTTGAAGAATTTTATGCCTCGTCCAAAACACACAGCTAGTTAGTGGCAAGACCTACAGTGGAACTTCTCACTAAAGTGTCCATCAGCTTTTGACATTTTCCTAATGACTTTTTAAATCAAAAGGCATCTTTTTATATACCCCTGTAGAAGTAGGAAGAGATTTATTTTAAATTGCTTTAAAGAACTTATTTTAAATGAACACTACATGATGAATAAAAGTACATCCCAACATAGCCTGGTCTTGGCTCTTGGAGGTCAAAGGTTTACAGATTTAGGTCACTTAACCACTAGAGGGCACTCAGAGTTCCCCAGTTAATTTAAAGAGGTTTCCAAATCCTGCAAATGAATTTCATGGACATGATGTTTCCTATGAATAATATTAAAAGGTAAATGAACATTTTCCCAGAATATTAGGTGGATATGAATATACTAGTTCTAAGCATTGGTATCCAATTATATACATGTATATTATATGTATATGTATATGTGTGTTTGTGTATATATGTATATATCTATACATATAATTTTTTTTCCCCTAGGTGGCACAGTGAAGCACTCAATTACTAGCTGGAAGGTTGGTTGGTTGGTTCAAATCTACCCAGAGGCACCTCAGAAGATGAGAGTGGTGATTTGCTTCATAAAGGTCACAGCCTCAAAAACCCTACGAAGCACAGCTCTACTCTGCACATGGGGTTGCCATGAGTTGGAAATGACTTGAAGGCAACTAACAACAATTACATGTACATACATACATACACACACACACACACACACACACATATATATACACATACACATACGTACATAATAATTAATCTTACTATTGTAGATCTCAGGGAGCTCTGGTAGCATAGTGCCTAAGGCACTTGACTGCTAACCAGAAGGCTGGCAGTTCAAACCCACCAGCCACTCTTTGGAAGGAAGATGGAGCAATCTACTTCAGTAGTGATACTGCCTCAGAAACCCAAGGAGGGGTCACTATGAGTTGGGTCCGACTCGACAGCGTATAACAACAACAACAACAACTGTAGATCCAAAGGAGCTCTGGTGGCATAGTGCCTAAGGCATCTGACTACCAACCAGAAGGTTGGTGGTTCAAACCCACCAGCCACTCCACAGAAGGAAGACTGGGCAATTTACTTCTGTAAATATTTCCTGTGTCGGAATCCCAAAGGGGGTTGTTACGAGTTGGAATCAAGTCAATGGCAGTGAGTTTGGTTTTGGTTATTGTAGATAGAGTCCTTACATGTTCTCAAAGGGTTCCTTTATTTATTGCTTTCAAGTAGAAAGCAGATTTTTGAAGTAAAAATTAACTGCCTCCAAAGCACTCAAACAGCCTAGTGGACTCCTGCCAAATATACCGGCCTATAACCCAAGTGAATGAGTGTTGTTGGAGTCCTTGGATACTTTGATTTAAAAGGGAGAAAGACAAAAATAAATAAATAAATAAATAAATGAAGAAAATTAAAAAAAAAAACAGTGCTTTCTCTGCTAGAAAAAGAAATAAATTAAGCCAGGCAATTTCTTCAGGCTTCCAGTTTATCATCCCTGCAGTTGTTATACTAGTCATGAGGGGATTTCTCAAGATTAATACTGGAGCCAAGAAAATCCTGTCTCCATAGGGGAGCCAAGCACTTTCTGGCTGCATCCTTTAAATTATGAAAAGAGCCTATTCTTTAGGATTAAAAGAAGTCAAATTAATATGTTGTTGTTCGTTGTTATGTGCCGTCGAGTCAGCCCTGACTCAAAGCGACCCCTCCTTGGGTTTCTGAGGCAGTATCACTACAGAAGTAGGATTGCCCAACCTTCCTTCCAAAGAATGGCTGGTGGGTTTGAACCGCCAACCTTCTGGTTAGCAGTCAAGTGCCTTAGGCTCTATGCTACCAGAGCTCCTCAAATTAATCTAGAACAGTTATTATTAACTATTGCCAAAGCCCTGTACGGGGGAGAAAAATAAAAGAATCTTAATTAGAATTGCTTTTGCAAAAAAAAAAAAAAAAAAGGTGGTGACAGGGTGTGGGGGTGAGAGGTTTCTACAAAGCACCTATACCCAACCGTCTTGTCACAGTTGTTGATGGTTAACATTCTGGATTCTGCTGTATCATTTTCCTGCCCATGTGGCACTTACCTGATGAGGACTACAGTGTGCTTTGCACAATGCCACAAAACACTTGGCTCACAGCACTAAAAAAGGATACATCTAATTCACTCTGGAAAAGAAAAAAAGAGTGCAGAGGGTGAGCATGAGCTCCTGGAACACAAGCATTCAGCATACTTAACAACTTCTTTGGCCTAGAGGCCAGCTGGGAAGCAGGTAGGAGAGGCGGCTTTGTGGTTAGTAGCTTGAGAATGGGAAAGCCCTGAGTCTAAGATTGTGATGGGAGGGGGGGATTACAGTCTAGAGGCATTTTATAGGTTACAACTACTATCTTTAGCGAGTAGAGGGGATAAACTCAACCTTTATAGACAGTAGGTGATTTGGTATTCTATTCTGTTCTATGTTGTTGTTGTTGTTGTTATGTGCCGTCGAGTCGACCCCGACTCATAGCGACCCCTCCTTGGGTTTCCGAGGCAGTATCACTACGGAAGTAGGATTGCCCAACCTTCCTTCCGAGGAGTGGCTGGTGGGTTT